TACAATATTAATAAATATATTACAAATATTAATAGTTTTATCTATCAATGATGTCCTCTACCAGGCAAAACCTGATAAAAACCAGAAGTCTGGTCAAGAACCATCATCCAGCATAGTATGCAAAGTAGTGTTAATGAAGTTAGCAGTGGCTTGAGATTTAAAGTTCTCGATTTTCAGTTGCTCTTCAGAATGTTTTAGAGATAGTTTACTTCTATTCCACTACTATATTTTTTCTCAACATTTTGTGCCTAGAGTGGCAATATTACATAAATGTTCTTCCTGGAAGAGCTGGGCACTGCTTCCTACTTCATGTCATTGCATGATACTGTTTCTATGCTTGGGTTTGAAAACAAACTCTATAAATACCACAAACATAGTTACTTCATTGACTTTTCAGACATGACAAAAACTTGAAAAAGAACTTTTTTAATTCCCTTGCCAAACACCCACAGTTAGCTCAGCATTTTTCCTTGGATGAGTTGCAGTGTTATTTGTGTGACACTACTCATGATATTTTGAAGTGCAGTCAGGAAGCTTTTCAACTATTTCTGTATTTATTAAAAAAAACAAAAAAATAATTCTAGATCCCGGATCTAGAATTTGGTAATTCTAGATTTGATTTTTAGTGCAAAGCAGCACTAAAGGATTCTGGACATTAGATGTGTTCTCACAGAGACTGCTGTACTGGATATTTTTTCAAGGTAGGGAGGCCAGGCAGATAGCAAATTTCTGGTGGAACGAAGTTTAAAGACCCTTGTTAAAAATATACAGAAGTATTCTTGCCTTCTGATATTTATTATTTTTTTCCAATAAGATTATTTTTGTCATATACCAGCATCTGCTTGTGGACTTGTTAAATATCCTCAGACTACCTCATCTCATTGATAATCTAGCTTCCCTCTAAATTTCCAGGCTCCGAATTTAACTAAGCAAGCAATCTTCTCTTAGACCCAGAATCTTCTTAAGTTTTACCTTTCAGTCAGCTATCAATCCATGCAAGAAACCAGTCCCTGAGCAGCTACATTTACAGGCAATTCACAGTGCTCTGCTTTCACACTCCACAGTTTTGCTGCTACTGTGTCAGTTAGTTAGAAGCAAGTGGTTTATTTCTCACCACCTGCTGAGCAAGCCCCTGTTAGGCAAACCACTGGAGAAAACACCAAACCCCTCTGAATTAGTTCTTTTGTTGTTTGTGAGGAGCCTTTAGCTCTACTGATCTGAGATCTAAAATGGCTCAGGAACAAAAAATAACTGATTTCTGACATAAATGAACAACCCATTATTTCTATTGCTGTTCCGGTTACTGGACTATGGGGCAGATTAAGTTCTCACCCTATTTCTTCCTTGAAAGTATAAAAATGAATGCATCAGAAAACACCCTAAAGATGCAGAAGCAAACAGTGTCATCGTTAATAACAGGGACCCAAGCTTAAGACACTGTCAGCTATATATTCATATTGTTTAAGCTCCAGTGGCACTTCACATGATTTAAACAGAGGCTTAAAGTTAGCATTTTCTCCTTCTTGTGTTTATCTACCTGATATGGAAGCAGCCACCTGAGTTCCAGCAAGACTATATAAGGTATGGACCTGATCAGTCCCATGGGAAAAGATAATGCTAGGCTGGTAATCTATGACAGTAACTATGTTCATCAAATCCATGAAACTCCTGTGCAATAAGAAGAAATATCGATAAAAGCTGAATCTCTGTTAAGGTAAATCTCTGGCCCCACAAACTTTTGTAACACTTATCACAAATGTAACAAAATCTGGAACAAATTTATGACAGGTTTTTGTTACAAATGGCAACAAAAGCAACGGGGTAAATGACCTTCTGGATGTGAATGCTAGAAACAGCGAGAATGAGGCTGAATATGTGGATGCATGGCAACTTGGGAGAAAGTGGCTGTGAAGTAAAAAAAAAATCAAGGACTGAGGGAAGAAAAGAGATTTCAAGAAATGAGATGTCACTACACTCAAAGTATTCATTGGTAAGACCTCGCAGGAATTAACAGTACTGGAAATAAAGATTTAGAGGAGTTACTGGATTCTGTCAACTGAGACTGAAACATGGAAACATGTCAGAGTTCCATCTGTATTAGCAATTAGGGTGGCACAATTATGACAAATCAGTGAAGAGAAAGAGCTAGTACTGAAAAAGCTTATCCATCCTACACTTGCTCCTAGGATTTCACTTTGAACCGGCTCTAAAAAAGTTGAAGATGGTTGAATGCTAAAGAAGACTACAAAGCTAGGTGATGAAGTTTCTCTCAGGCCTTATACACCTCTAACTGATCCTTACTTGACCATGTCTTTTAAGCTTCATTTTCTATCATTATATAAATACTTTCTGGGCAGGGGGAGGGAATGACAAAAGATGGCTCTGTGAAAACACTGATGTTTTTCAAATCATTATTTTCCAAAAGAAAAACGTTTTTTGATAGAAAACTTTGACTGGCTGTAGTCCTCACAAAATAATGACTGTCACTCAGTATCCTACATGGCATATTTGTGCTCAGAAAAGGAAAGATCATCAGCCCAGGTAAGCTTAGATGGTAAGCAGCAAACACAAAATGGTGCTGCCAAGGTAACAGTAATTCCTTCTGTTGCTTAAATACAGAACAAAACACCACCACTCGCCCTGGCAGATACAAATCCCAACAGTTTCTAACACAGGCAGTTTGCCTGTAATTGTACCAGTTGAGTAAGTGAACATACTGGCTGCAGGTGGTCAGGCTTTGGCAGTGGGGTTGCAGAAGCCAGGGGCTGCCCTGGTCTGGTCATGACTGATTCCAGCTGGCCCCAGTGGACTCTCCTGCCAGTGTCCCATGCTTTTGCTATAGTTTCCCATCTTTAGTTAATTGAGGCACTTGCTTAGTGCAGGAAGCATCGTCTCATGTGTATCATGCTGGACTGGGCAATCTCACTGTGAATAAGTCACCTTTTAGGGCATACTCTCATTTGAGATTTATTCAACGGAACCATGTGTTACCACTGGAGGCAAACAGCAATGCCACAGAATGCACTCACAGAAATTTTCCATTGTTTCTTGACCCAACGAGGATACGGTGCTCTGACTCCTCCCGAGAGATCCTTCCATGGAACCATGGCATCTTCTCATGGGCTGTAGTGGCAATCAGCTTCTCCAACTGAGGCTTCTGACTAATGATGGCTTGTTCAAGAGCATGGCCCTAGGGAGTTGTGAAAACACAGTGGCACAATCAAACTATCTTTTGCAATAAAAACAGAACAGGTAGACTCAGTCTTCTGGAACTGCTTTTGGGATTGGTTTTGGAACATCCAAAATTTGCACGTATTTGTTGCATGTGAAGAAAAGGTCTGGTTTCTATAAAGATATTAAACCAGAAACTAACATATGGTAATCTAAACATCACAAAACTGGGGTTCTTCCTTTACCTCTGAGAAAAAGAGGAAAAATTTACCAGTAAATGAAGCCCTTAATATAACAGTATTTAAACTGAAAATTAAGCCATATTTTTATGGTAATGAGACATAGCTAAATAAACTTAATATCACTCTGAGATTTCAAACATACCTTCATGTTACATATCCTATGGCAATGTACTGAAATAAACTGAAAATGCTTTGCATTGTTATACCATGTCTATGTTGAAGACACCAAGGCAAATTTCCCCAATGCCGGCATAACAGTCCCAATGATTCCATTATGAAAAAATCCTACCTAGCAGCAGCAAGAGCTGGAAACAAACACATTAATCTCTTTTTTGCCTAGCTTAAAGGCTGCTATACGAGAAGAACAGTCTGGCTTTACCTGCAAATTCCAAGTTTGTTTGACATACTCTCTGATGAGATTCTCTTTCAAATCTTCAAAGGGTCCTGTTTTGGGTTCGACACCTGGTGGTCGGTTGAAAGGTTTTCTCAGTAGACAGATAAGGCCATCCGTTTCCTCTGAGTGGTAGTTAATGAGTTCAGCAGACTTGCCCCCTGCAATAGCATATGAGCCACTCAGCTCCCTCTCAATTGTATAGTGATGAACTTTTCTTCCATGGGCCAAGGATAAGGCAAAGCCCCCCAGGTAATTCCGGCTTTGGCGGAGCAGGTATAGTCCATCACTCACTCCTCCTTGCATCAGATACTCCTCAGCATCTTCACGTGTGATATTACCAAAGAAGTATGGCAAATGGTTAGCAGGGTTTGCTGTGCTGGAAGCCATGGTGGGATTTTTCCAAGTTGCAAACCTAGTATTCTGTATCTGGAAAAACAAAGACAGAGACATGAGTGTCAGTTGAAAAAAAGAGGATATACTAGTAACTAGCGGCTCACATGTGGCATGTTCACAGAAACATTTAGGTTGGAAAAGACCTTCAAGATCATTGAGTCCAACCTTTGTCCAATCATCATGTTGTCAACTAGACCACAGCACTGAGTGCCATGTCCAGTCGTTTCTCGAACACCTCCAGGGATGATGACTCCACCACTTCCTGGGCAGTCCATTCCAATGTTTAACAACAATTTCTGTGAAGAAATTCCTCCTGATGTCCAACCTGAACCTCCTCTGGTGCAGCTTGAGGCTATGTTGGGAATACATTTGTTGGTAATATAAGTGTTGGTAAACAAAACAAAATATTTTGGGATGAAGATCACATTTTTATTTTCATCTTGTTAGAAGGTGTCTCTCTAAATTCCAAAATAAAGGTTTTTCCTGTTATATAGTTATATAAAGGT